ATATATTCAAATATCATCCCACTAATGTAACACAAGATCAACGTGTAAGCTACTCGATGTAAAAACTTTTCGATAACTTGGTACTACCCTTAAATTCTGGAATAATTCGGTGAAGTTGATATCAAAGTATTTAAATCAGTTCTAAACTGCTCGTTTAGTTCTAAACTTAACCTATAATATTGTTTTATTCTTCTACGACGAACTTTTATTTTTATCTGGCGAACTTTTATAACTTACTTATATGACAAATTAACAACGAATGTCTAGATCACAATATGTATATAAATTACTAAAACTTACCTTTAATCATTCTGTGGTAACATCGTGCAACCGATCACATTTACATTAAAAATCAATTCAATTAGGACATCCATAGACAAAGTTATGAAATTTAACATCTATCTTGATGAGACACGACTATTGCAGTATGTCATCTGATATGCTACAAAAGATAAGTCACATCAACAATGCTTTATAGAACTGATGTTACCCACCGAACTTTAACAAAACAAAAGTTGCAGATGTTTTATTAGATAATCGGTACAGTTGGTCAACTCTTTATAGTTCTCACGCACTGCAATGTTCGACGCACGCTAGGTTATTTTCTTTGCCTCATTCATTCACCATTACTGATTAGTCCAAGTCGCATTGGACTAGACACAATGTTAGCAAAATTAGACCAATCGAAGTTTACTCGATATCGACCCGTCGCTTCGTAATCCTTATCGTGATCCTACAATGAAGCAATCACGACTGATTCTCACGACACTACTCCAGCACAACACTGTTTGTCCGTTATGAAATTCTAATTGTCCTCGTAATGAACAAGCCAACTTTGATGGGCATCCAAGGCCATAATTGTTTTACCTGTCTGCACATGTATTATTTGTTGACAGGTAATGGATTTATTAAATTATTTGTGTTAGAAGTCACTGTTTTTCATTAAATACAAAAGAGCAGGGTAACTCCTATCAGGCCAAGCCCTCATAATAAATCACGTATGTTGTAATTGTCTTCATCCATTTCGTAATAAGCATATTTATATTTTGTTATAATTTTATCAAAAAATCGCAAATGGTGTTGTATACTATATTATTTACAGGTAAAATTAGGCTTCCTATCTCTAATAAATCAAGTGAAAAATGTCAGTGATACAAAACGAACTTGATAAAACATTAAATGTCATTGATAAACACTGGAGTTGATGACTTCACAATTAAAGTTCAAGGACAAAAAAAAATCGCAAAATTATCTCTCTGTCCAATGATGGCATCAGCCTCGATTTATTGACTTGTGATGCAATTTATCTGCAGGTATAAGAGATTTCAAATATTGACTCCGTAGCTTGTGGTTGAATAAAAGAATATTGATATGAAATCGATAGTAAAGGTTGCAAGCACTTTCACTACTAGGTATAGACACGAAGACGCATTTAGTGGGTGCGGATGCACGCGACCTTCACAAGCTTGGCGTCTCAATTAGCGCTTTAGATTAGATTCCAACTTTGCCGGAGAGTGTGTGACATAATCGGGTGGCGTCACCCAACCGCACCTTGACATAATATACAAACTGGTCTATTGACACGTGACCAAAACGCATTTTTACTGCAGGCAATTTGACATACCTTCGCACTGGTAACATAGAAAACGATGACGTAACAGGTGCATAAAAAATGCATAAATCTTTCAAACAATTAACAATGAGTGACTCTTTATATTAAAATCAGCACGTTTGAATCAGGCTGTAATATATTGTTAAGGTAACACCTATTACACATATTTTAACTATATAAATAGAAAACTTTTGATACGATTGCTCTATATTTCTTAAGGGAGTAGAAGTCTCCAACCTCACCCACACAAGATCACTGTTAGAAAGCACTTCTATATTCTGATGGTAAGTAGGGTGTTGATGATGAGGTTATCCAATAAACTATTAAAGTCAGACAGGTCGTGTGCTTATTTGACAACTAATTCTTATCAACAAAAACACTTCAAAAAAAAATCTAAGTTGTTGTATTTGTACATTTGACCAACTTTAATACACTTATATGAAATAAGGCTTACGTAAACAAATACTTTGATAAATGGCGTTAATTTTTATTCAAGGTTACATTAATTAGGAAATAAGGTTCAAATATGCATAGTAATTTACCTAAAACGTTTATGTTCTTCTTATTTATTTTACTTAACACTTGAGTGTAAGAATATCGTTCTGATTACCGGTGGGACCATATATCGCAGATCAGAATTATGTGTGCTATCATTCTAAAGTAATAAAATGCGTAAATGTATCCTGAACAAGGCTTACTTTACGCTAAACAAAAATATGTAATACAAAAGAACAAGTGATGCTTATGTAAAGTACAAACTAGAGTAAATTGAAAAGGATCTTACATTGGATTCTACAATGATTGGAACCAAATTGACAATTTGGCAATATAGAAAATTAAGCAATACTTACACAAATAGTCTTTTATTCAGACATAGTTGCGCTAGGTTGAACGCACAATATTTTATGATAAAAGGAATACAAGTCGTTGCACAGTGTCAAGATGCAACTAGTATATAAATAAGTATTTATGTACCACTTCGAGTTGCAATTTAATAAATATTTACACACTGAACAAGGACATGCGTACGAGTGAAGATCCGCTTGGAAATAAAACTGGTATGAGTAATCATTATGTCACAAAGATATACCAACAGATAAAAAGAGGAGTTTATAGTTAAACGTTTAATAAATTATGTATTCAATTTATTTAGATTGAAGTTTGTAATAATTTTTACGCCTACAAAAACATTGAAAAAAATAGGATTTGGTGGTTATTCGAGTTGTATGAATCATTTTCATGTGTATAATCGCAATTCAAAAAATCAGGTGAAGAGGTTTCTGTGCCAGCTATTGTTCAAAGCTTTTTTTTTGCTTAAAATTCGACGTGACTTGCAAATCTTTATACAAATGCTTCCACGTTTATGTCCCAGATCAAAATACAATTTGATTCTGATGCTTGTCTTGTCTGTACGTGAGATTGGTAGTTAAGGCGGCAGTTTGGGGGTTACGGTCACGGACGTTGACGGACACTGCAAAAGTTTAACCACAACGTGTTTTGAATTAAAAGAGGATGAGAATTTATTTAAACTCCAGACGTTAACTGAATAACCCTTTTACTTTGACCGACTTTATTGATACAGATTGATTTGTTTACGGTAAGCAGTTCATAAAAAAAAATCACATGCTAATTTCTTATAGAAAATCTCTTTTGGTTTGTAAACCCATCAATAATCCTTCAATAGTATAAATATGTAGTCATACGCAGAGGTTTCTTAGTAGCTTTACGAATAGCTTGCTTATAAAATTATCATAGTGACACTAATACACAGGTGACGACTAGACAACCGTTACGATAATGTTTCAATTTAAATAAAACATATTTAAGGCACACTACTTACGCCTTAAAAAAAACTCCGCCACCGATAAAACCTGAAGTAGAAACCTATAATTAAATATTTGGTATTTACAAACTGTGGAACTTAATGTAAAACTCCTTGACAGTTTCGCAACATCATGACTCTTTGCCTACCGCGTTGTGTTAAATTATGAAGTAAACAAGTACTAAAATTTTTGACAACTTTGTTATAAACAATCATGCACGAAGGATCGAATATTTTATTGCTTATACTATTAGGACAGACGTCTGTAATTAGTGAAAAATTTGGATGGGTCCGTCCATACTTACCAATAAGTGGGAGCCGTTAAGTAGGAGTTAAATAGGTTTTAATCCTCTAAGGATACTTGGAATGTAATCTGTTAAAAGGTGACCCTTTTAGCATATATACCAAATACGATATTGTTCAACTTCAATATTAATAGCATAGTTATATATGTCTTCAGAAGTCATGACACGAGTATAGTTTATTACGAGTGGAATTTGCAAATTGTGAAATCTAAAAACAGGAAGCATATATTTTCTAAACCATTTGTATATTTTTCACACAGCATTATAACTGTATGTGTAATTATATAAGTTACATAATTAAGAAGTCATTATGTTAAGGAGGAATTCGATTGAACAAAACATTTTCGTTTAATAATTACGACAGCTTTCTCTCTGACCTCTAGCAAATGGTTTCATGGAAATGTGGTTTAAACAATTACGAGCCCATTTCAACCCATAGCCTATCTGAAATATACGGTCCCACGTCTGTGAAACAAAACAAATAAACAGCAATATATTTTAGTAGGTCTTCTAAATTAATTCTACTATAAGATCACAGAAGTAACGCTTTCACATTTTTACTGTCGAAAATGAATTGAAGACTTAAGTTAAGAATAGTGACATGCACTTAAGGTGTGGCTTGACAAAAACATTTGTCTTTTATTACGCAAAGTGTCAAAGCTACTATATTTATTGCACAAGTAGACGACACTTTATGTATTCAGTCAATACTACTGTCGTTATCTTCAATGTTGCACTCACAGTCTTATCTTTATTATACAGAGTAGAGGTAGGTACTTTGTTATACGACTACATAAAAAAATAATGAAAGGTTTTAGAATCATGGATGTATGTGAATTGCTTTATTCCACCATGTGTACGTATATGGTGTCGTTAAAATCGTTACATCAGCCTATTTACTAACTAGGTATGATTAAAAATAAATGTCAAAGATCATCAACATAAAAAAAAATATTTTATTCAATTCTTGGCAAAGTCTTTTAGCAGGTAGCAGCAGTAATTTAGCAGAGTTGTTGTCTAACGTTCGTAATGATTTTTGATGTCTGTGATGACTATTTTAAACAGTCAGCCTACCACATAGAAATTATAAACCCTTGCTTCAATATCCCGCCTCCTTTTCAATTTACAACAGTTATTATAAATTATTGTGTACATAATTTAAAGACGTTTGATAGCTAGTACTCGACTTTATAAACTCTGTGCAATTTTAGACTATTTACAATTTGTATCACATCTAAAATTTAACAAACTTTGTTTACAGGCTGCGCTAGCACTTATCCAGGCCAGCGAAGTTTCACCAAAGAAAGACACTGATGAGGTTACAGTAGTAAAGTCCGGACCGAAAACAGATCCTGAAATTGTTGCTGACGCTCGACAAGCTCGCCAGTACGGACCGTACCAGGGACAAAACAACAATGAAGTGGTTGTAGATATAGAAGATGAAGACAAGACTCAGTATTATGAGACCAATTACGATACAAGTAAGTCTAAAACCAACACCGAGTATATGGTCATATTTCTCAAGCCATTTGTAGTTAATTTGTCTGATTTACAGTAAAAAAGTATTTGAAAACAAACATAAACTCATAAATCATTATATTGAGCACAGAAAATATCTTTTCGACCGAAATTAATGATTACATGTTTTTTTTGCTACTAAGGTATTGCTGTTTTGTATATTTCCCCTCCTGCCGGATAGGGTCAGAGCCCGCGGCAAGGTCAGAGTTTCTGTAAAAGAGAAATGAGGTTACAACACACAATTAAAACCATTGTGCTGCAAAGTGTCTAGCAGCTCAGGTAACTGCCGTCCATTAGGTAGGCCTCAAATACCTTTTGAATTTCAAAGCACCTACTTGTCTATCATGGTAATATTATCGAATTTACATGTATATTTTTTCGGTCATTAATCGAAATGAGCAATGTGGCTGTTCCTGAATGTATTTGATTGTTCCTGTATTGTGTTCTTATATTCTGATTGTAATTAATTCACCTAGTGGCACATTGACTAATGAATCACGAAATTTTCTGATTAATCAAATGTCTATTGTAATACTTCACCTTGCAGTGACATAGTAAATATTACACCCGAAGAAAGTTGTCTGTAGAGAAAATGTTAAGCTATTTAATATTATAGATTAGTACTTAATGAAATTTCATGAACTTTATACAATTGTTATCAATATAACATTTTAGTGACTGCAATTACGTTAAGGGTAACAAAAAATCTCGAAATAACTAAGACTTTCTATAAATAGCCTATTAACAAACCAATGCGGACTGAAAACCACACAGAACTAATGAAATAAATAATAAATATCAACGTTCAAAATAAAGTTGCAAGACATTAAAGAGCGTTGCCGGTAACAAAAAAATAAAAAATAATCACCAATAAAATCAATACATTCTATAATAATACTATCAATTTCAGTACTAATTACACTAATTACTTTTCAAATGGACTTTCACTTTTGAATATTACTTTGAAGCTATCATATTTTTTGTGAATTATCTAAAAGTATAGGTATCGCCCAAAATTCAAAAGTTATAAAAAGGATATAATGACTCCTAATGTTATACACGCATTACATACTATATTTAATTTGTCCTAAATTTTACACGTTTTCAAACAAAAGTAAAATGGATATAATGGTATGCTACCTAGTGGGTACGCTTTTAATTTAATGGACAGCCCCAGGTGGGCAGGTCTAAATAATTTGTGGTTACTTTACGTATTGTGAATTTTAATGAGACGTTTGAAATGGATTGGACATAGAATGTATGTAGGTAGAAAATAAAATACATAAAAGGAATAATGTGCAAAACACTTCGTTGGAACTGCTTATCATTAAGATTTTTTGTGATTTTAAGTAACCTGTTTCGTATTATGGTTGACCCTGTAAATGTACCGTTTGATTTTATATACCCCTATAATACCGTTATTTCCGAATCACATAAGTGTATATTTTATTTTGCCAATGTTATGTTTATAAAAATACAATTTCAGTTGCCATCAATAAGGTTAGAATATTAATAGAGTATTCGGTGATTTGCTATAACACGTATACAGTTACAAGAACTTGAGGATGCACAATATACATATAATTATGTTCATTAAAAAGCCTGTTTCGTTTCAAAAAAATTAAATGTGCTTGAAGTAACACTTCCTTAAAAAATATCCTGAAGGAAAATCTTGCTTCTTGCTGCAGGTACACCATCTACATACACGCAATAAAAAAACATTACATTTTTAGATTTTCGTAGATAAACATGGGAAATTAGTAATGTATTCTACAAGGACAATGGTGCAATAACACAATACTTAAGCTTAACTGGCTTAACTTAACAAAATAAAGCATTACATTAACCTGAGGCACATAAGACACACAAACATATTACTGTCATCAGTCGCATTCACAACCTTCGGCATTCCTTGTGCTACTTTGGCTGCTTGTTATAAGGTAACAGCTGGTATGAAATGTCTCTAATTAAATTAGAGACCATTTTATTAACTTTAAATTTAAAAAAATACCTATAGTACTGACAACATTTAACACATTTTTATTTTATAATATTTATAGTGCTATAGTTTTATGGTATTGTTGTATTTATTGTTATTAACTAAAACAATATGAAAATAGTAACTAGACAGACTCGATTAACTGGATTAGTTATTGTCGTTGGCTAATAAGCAATTCAATAAAAATACGGATATTCAACTTGTTTTTTTCTCACTATTAACTAAAAATGTAATTTGAAAACGAGAAGGACAACTTGCCGAACAAGTCTTGAACCCGTGACAACGGCTAACCGTAGTAATAATCTGCCCACTGCTAACTGAAAAATGCCTTGCTTTTGTTGAAATTTACATTTGTTAAGAATACTTGCTAAAGCCAGATTAAGATTTTACATTAAATTAAAGCGATTATCTTGTTTAAAAGCAATTTAGAAAAAAAGATCTTCAAATGCAGTTGTTTGTCTAGTAGCATGATGAATATATAACTGCGGTGCGATATAAATATTTAGATTATTGCATGACGTATAAAACACTGATAATATTTAATCTAGAAGTTATTCTAGTCGTTAAGATTGGATTTTTATTAAATCGTAAAAGTACAATGTCTGATGAGCAGTTAGGTTCATCAACAGCCTTTAATAGTCCACTGCTGGACATAAGCCTCTCCTTACAAAGGATTAGTTAAGTTGTCTAATCGCAATACCAGTGATTTGATTTCAGCAGTGATATTCCAACAGCAAGTCTCTAATCCGATTGGGACGACTTTTCCCTCTCCAAAAGAAAGACATATTCTTCTTTCAGTAACGGTTAACTATTATATTATTCTGAAGTTTTTACACGTTTCTCCAAGGCAACAACAATTTGGAACATAAATCTTAATTATATATTAAAAAACATTAGTAATTAAAGATACATAAATAACTAGAACACTCCACCAAACGATTAATTACAATCTATTATGATACTCCAACTATTTTACGATAAGGACGCTTGTATATTTAACTACATATCCCAGTCAAAGATGGTGTGAAAAACTTACCGCGAACGGTATAGCGCCCTTTTTTTTTCCGTGCGGGAATCCCCTCGGATACCACCCATCGGTGGCATGTCGGACTCGAACCGACTAAAACCGCACGCCGTCTCGGGTACTAATAGCCGGGGAACCAAGTATACCCTAGAAAGGAAGTCCCTGGTGCCCCGACATACCTCGGGTCATCTACAGACGAGTAGACGACCCCCCCGTGTGGGAACCCCATGTTCCCTGTGCTCCCTGGAGGCGAGCGCGCTTCGCAACGCGCTCGCCGCCACCCCGGCCTGCTTCTGCTAGGGTGACAGATGGCCTCACCTGTCACCCCCAGGCCTGCGCTTATGGAGGACGGAGGTCGTTCTGCGACCTCCGTCCGGGGCGGGAGAGTCCTAAACCTCTCCCGGTCCCGCTCCGCCGTCTCCTTCGCGAGCATAACTTGCTCGCAGAAGGAGACGGCAGAGTTCCACGCACTCTCGCTCCGCACGATAGCCGCAATCAGGCTATCGAGCGAGAGAACTCCCACTCCGGGTATAGCGCCCTAGATAAAATAAGAAAAGTATTCTAGACATAACACAGTACAAAAAAACATCGTATAATTTTATATCAGATTTAATAGTGTATTCATAGTTTGATGGCGAATGAAACAGTAGTCTTATGACTTTGAGCTATTTTGACAAGGATGTTAAACTGCAATAATAGTTCATTTTTGAAAGGTTGCCAAAAGGTAAAAGAGTGAAGTGATGTTATACAACTGTACACGTACAGAAAAATTATAGGCATTAGTTTTCCGTTGTAGCAATAAACTGGGTCATTTATCATAGAGGCGCCGTATGGTGAGAGAGATGTACAAAATCCCTCACTACCTACTTAAGTTTATACCCCATGAAAACAAACCGTAGGTATTGATGGAATTAGTTTTCAAAACAGTAAGTAATCAAAGACTTGCTTTTAGTACACTTCTCAAGGATTTTAAACACGCTTTCCTTGTTTTAGGTTCGTATGGTTTCGGTTACGATGTCGGTCCGAATGGCCAGTTCCACCATGAGAACCGCGGACCAGATGGAGTCACTTACGGTTGTTATGGGTATGTTGACCCTGACGGCTACCTACGTGCTACTCATTACGTTGCTGACAGCCACGGTTACAGAGTGGTCGAACCTGAGAAGCCTGTCGAAGTGTTCCCTGATGAAAAATACGAATACGACGAAGCGTAAGTAAAACATTTCTCTATTTTTGGCAAATAAAGATGAACGAATTACTGTGTGGACTAGGTCCTACTCACGTAAAATTAATTTATGCAAACCCTTATGCTATGTGTGTAATTGTGTATGTTAGTTTATATATTTTTGGATAAAAAACAAAAAGCTTTATAACTACTATTACAACTATAACCTCACTGCAGCACCTACCTTACTACATTTCTACACCACCGTTGGTGGTTGGTTGGTGGACCATGCCCAGGGCAAAATATATATTAATATATATTATTTAAATATTAATAAAAAACATACATATTTAAATAAATAAATAACAATAAATAATTAAATAAATATATTCTAAACGCAATCATATTGTATATTTAACTGAAATAATGCTGCTACGAAGAAATTACAAATTATAAAAATGTTTATTTTTATGGGCTTATTCTTGAGATACACTAATATTTCACTTTTACTTGTTTCCATAGTTTTTAGCCATCATATTAAAGCACAAGATATTATTTCTTTAATCTAAAATATAGAAATAACAGCACTTTAGGTATTATTTCTAAACGGTACACAAAATTAAATACGTTTTCAGAGAATTCGGTGAGAGTTTTATTTAAGAAACATTTTGTAACTTTTCTATGTTAACTGAACTATGCTGCTTAAGACTAGCACTCAAGTGTACTTATACTATATTTTCTTTTAAGATACATGTCACGATCAAAGCGAGACACACTGGAGAAGAGCAATATTAGAAACTTTCTTCATAAAAAAGAAAGATATACTGGCTCTGATTTTATTCCATCATTCCAAACTTTACATTTTAGGTCGCATTGTAGCTTTATTTAGCGTTACATAACAGGAAAGCATAACATAGGCATAAAAGGAAATTTATTCGTGTATTTAGTTACGGCTATTACTACTAATTACTAACTAGGCAATGTTATTTCTATAATTTACACACAAATTCAATTATAGACACTATTTTTTTTTAAGTTTTCACACAAAAAGCCTTCTTCTTCATCGAAAAATTAAATGACTGCGTTGTTCCTGCAGACGTTAAAGTTATTCGAAGACACAAGAATACGATTTTTTATTGCAAAAACATTTTTAATACTGAAGCTTTTAATATGATTACAGGACTGATGGTCAAGCTGTAAACACACAGCCTGGTCAACTTATTCCATGGAAAAAGCTGTATTTCCCGAAAGGGTGTGGTCGCACCCCCGGTGGTGTACCAGCCAAGCCTCTACCTAAACCTACTCCAAAACCGCCTAAACCTGTGGACAGCAGTGGTAGCGGTAGCAACTTAAACCCTGTAAAACCAGGCCAAGGTAATAACCGTTAAAATATGAATTTTATAATGTATCTATATATATAGTAGTATCTGTATAGTAGTATAGACTTATAACGTGATATACTTCTACCATTCATTATACACTGTCAGATACATTAAAAACTACAGAAAATAGTGGCTACTTTAAAAAAAATACATGTGCGTATGCTTATCATGTTCTCTTATTTCGATCATAGTAGAATGTGCTTAACGTCAGTGAAATTGATGCAAAATTTTGAAAACCCAGACAGCAACAAAACTTACGTAGTTACTTACATTGTGAATAAAAAATACACACATCAAAGCAACATGTACGGTTTTGAACCTTTGAACGATTTTTACTATTGTAATATATTTACATTTTTTTTAATAAATAATAACTAAGCATTCTTTGATGCATTAGTGACTAAAGCAACAAAATCTTTCATTCGATTGTGTATTTAATCAATTTATTTTTATTATTTAGTTACGAATATATATACCGTAACATCATCACACATCAACAGCCTATACTAGTCCACTGCTGGACATAGGCCTCTCCTAAGTTCGTGTTTGAAATCAGCCTTTCATCTTTTATGTTTTTGTCGGAACAAAAAAGATTGTATACCAATCTACTTTGATTTCTGTAAATGAGGCGTGTTGCTTAGACTTTTTTGATGTGTGTATTAATAACATAAAATATTGTATATTGTTCAATGAATATTTTTGTGCTATTGAGAATATGAACAACGCTAACTATAAATATATAATACCTTAACGATATTATTGTAATCAGTAATGAAAACTTCTTAGAACTATTCGTAAAAGGCATCTGAATTATTGACTATCTAAGTCTCGTATTAATTTCACAAGAAAATATACATATCTTTCGAAACTTTTTACTTTAAAGAACTCCCTCCGTACGTAAGACAAGAAAATAATTTTGTAAATATATTAGGAGATGATATTGTTTTGATCCTTAAGGTTAAATATTCTTATCCTATTTATTTTATTTTCTAGGACCCAACGGACCTAACGGTGGACAATGTAAGTATATTTACACTTTTTATCAACGTCAATAGTATACTAAAAAATTAAGAGCCTATAGTCCATCTAATCTAAGAGGTACCGTTTGAAGTTGCATAATATTTAAGCCGAAACAACGTTATGACACTCGGGAAGTCTCAGTGTATTTCATTCGAACTTTGAATTCCTTGTCGCTTAATTGTTTTTTTATGATTAGGGCCTGGAGGCAGTGGTACGCCAGGCACTCCCGGTACACCAGGAACACCCGGCACACCAGGCGGACCAGGTACCGTACTTATCTAAATGTTAAGTTGATTCGTGTACGTTTCATAAACTCAAAAAGTTCTGCACCGATTGAGCTGAAATTTTGACACGCAATACAACCCACTTCAAGGAACGTTTTTCACTACGCGTCGGTAATATAATTGCGACAGCGAGTAAACATATTTTTTTACGGTGATCTGTGTCCCATCAACCATGCCATGCGACGGAAGCAAGGTTAACACTCGCCTTCCTCATTTCTCATCAATGCAACCACGATGTGCAACAGCGAAGCGTGACAGGGTATTGCTAGTATAAAATATTTCCCTTTAATACTCTGTAATATGAGCAATGACTAGAAAAGCTTTTATTACGTGCACCCGATCATAGGTGGTCCAGGTGGACCAGGAGGACCAGGCTCTGGTGGATACCCAGGCAGCGGTGGCACCTCCGGCACTCCAGGTACTCCCGGTTCCCCAGGTACCCCCGGCACACCTGGTTATCCAGGAACAGGAGCCTATCCCGCCTACCCTGGATCAGGTACATTTTGTTATTAACAACAGTAAAATTTAAAAATGAACCAATGCACTAATATAAGCTTCAATCACTTAAAGCTAAAACAAAATAGTCCAAAAGTGGTTGAAGTGTGCCTAAAAAAGCAAATAATAATATTTCATCAATGTTTGTGAGTGCTTTTTTTATATTTGCTTTGCATGTAGTAAATCATATTTAACAAAACATTTTCCACAAGTCACACTTTCCTAACGCTTTTATGTGTCTAATATTTTACAGGAACAGACGAATACTACCCAGGACAACCTACTGGTCCAGGTAATAATATCTCTTATATAACCAATTGATATATACTTCTTACTAACTCCTTTATGCCTAACTACTTCCAAAGAAATGATGCGTTAATTTATAACAAAAAATAAATAAGGCTACCTCCTCGAGCTACTAAGATTTATGAGTTTTTACTTTTTTAGTATCATATATTGCAGAAACTTTAAAAGCTTCTGCAATAATTCTGGGAAAAAAATTGAAATTTATCCTTCTTTTATCTAACGATATATGTACATTTAATGTTACATCATACTGTAAAAAATTGACTGATAAATATATGTTTAATGTGTCAGATATTTCACTGTAACACATCTATAATTGCCGTTTCTAGTTTTCAAAACATCGTAATAAAGAACTTCTGATTTACTTAGAACCTCACAAAAGTATAAATATGCCTTTCTACACTCAGTACTCGCTATTTCTCATTCATTGTCAAAACGCCTAACACTTTTTAATAACAATGCACCTAAACGCAGCATAATATTCATCCAACCCATTTGTGCTAACTTTTCCAGACGGCGCATACTATCCAGGAGCGACAGGGCCAGGTAAGACAAAAACCATTTTAATTAAATGTTAGTTACAACCATTAATCATTGATACAGTTCAAGTAGCCAAACTTAATTATCTTCTGAATACCTCGCTCAAAGTTCCTATTTTGAATAAGAAGTTTTCTTGATGCTGTATCATAAATCATTGCATCACATAAATCAACCTGTTTTCATATTAAAGGTGCTACGATGAGAACGCAGTATTTAAGAATCAGACCATCTGTTTGTATCCATTATACAGCATTTACATTCAAAACGAACAAAGAATATACTGCATTCTCTTGCGTATATGTATTGTAAATAACAAAACGCCGCTTTATTAACCGATTGAGGTGTGTAACAAAATGTTTGTGTCGATTTAGGATACTATCCCGGTACACCAGGGACTCCAGGAACACCAGGCTCTCCAGGTGGACCAGGTGGTCCAGGCGGACCAGGTAATGTCTATTAAATAACTAGAATGAAATAAAACAAACTTTGGACGGATGTGTAAACCTTGTAACTTTTAGTATAATGTTATATTTCTCAGATTGATTTTTAATAAATTGTTTTTAATTTACTTTTTATTAGTAGGCATCTAGTTATATTAGCGTCAACTAAGTATTATACATTTTATAAGCTATAAACTGCCACGCTGTATAATACAAGTATATAACCTCCCTTCCACACTTTATAATAACGTAAAAAGTACCTAAGATAGTTATATTTTGTGAGAAAACTTCGTAACGTAAAACGAATAAGAGAGATATCAATAATTCCTAAAACGGAGAATAAGTACGAGTATTAAATTCAATAGTATTACTTATCACTGAGAGACGGTGATAATTGATACTTAGGCGGGTTGTCAGGGTATTTCAAGGCTCTCTTATCTCTATCGTATACAGAGGTGTACGGACCAACCCGATACTTTTTGATGACTTAAACTATGCTACGAGTATCATCAAATGAGCGGCGTCACGCTAAGTGGTACTTGTATTAGCATTGTACAATTTAATTTATATCTTGAACTGCTACAAATGAACTTCTCGATCAAATGTTTTTAACTTGTTACATGAATATGTAACGCGAGACGTTTGCCCTTAATCTCCTTTCGATAGCAACAGGAATACGTACTGATATGTAAAATATACTTAAAAGTCATTTAGTTATACAGGTATAGCATAATAAGTAACGCGAGACACCTCAGACACGGCCGCCTGATCCCAAAATAGGCCGAGCCCCACCTATAGGTTACCAGATTGTTAAAAAATATATATACTATTACAATTATTAAAAACCGAATACTAGTACAATTACAAAATACATATAGACTTTACGTAAAACACAGACCAATAATCGTGCTCATTACCAAATTATTTTATTGTTGTTGGGATTCTAAGCGGTGACCTATGGCTTAAAAAATATATTTCGCTTAGTCCCCACTAAACTAACAGGCTTGCAAAAAATTAGTTTTACAATTTGCATTTTTTCTTATTAAAAAATATACAAGAGAAACCTTTTTGTAGGTGGTCCAGGCGGTCCAGGAGGTCCTGGTGGTCCTTCGGGCTCAGGCGGATATCCAGGAAAACCAGGATTACCCGGCACACCGGGAGGTTCCGGCGGCCCTAGTGGACCAGGTAAATACAGATGATGAATGAAATGAACAAATGAATTATCATGGTCGGCAGTGATCTTGTATCAAAGTTATTGTTTACTTCAAGAAAAAGTGCACACACGCTCGATCAGAATTCAGAACAATGATTTGTTCTGTGTTTTGGTGTAATTTATCTCAACTTATGTATTTGTGTTTAGAAATATATATATATTTATCTACAGTCTCATTATCATAGCACTGGCTCTGCCTAGTTTGAGATCAGTCGGCCGCATATGAGATGTCTGCAATTGATTTTTTTATACTCATTTATCACATCCACACATTCTGTTAAATACATTTCTTCATTTTAAAAGGTGGCCCAGGCGGTGATTCAGGACCATCAGGCCCGAATGGCATCGGCTATTACCCAGGACAACCTGGAAGCCCCGGCTCACCAGGTTCTCCAGGCGGCCCAGGAGGACCAGGAGGCCCAGGTGGACCAGGCTCGCCAGGTGCACCAGGTAGCCCAGGAGGACCAGGAGGTCCAGGTGGGCCAGGAGTACCTAGTGGACCTAATGGACCTAGTGGTCCCGGTGGTTATTACCCCGGCTATCCAAGCAAACCCGGCACTCCAGGAACACCAGGTACACCAGGTACACCAGGAGGACCAGGTGGTCCAGGAGGTCCGGGAGGACCAGGTGGACCGGGAGGACCAGGTGGACCAAGTGGACCAGGTTTGTTTATTATTTAATTGCTTAATGTAATGTTCCTTTTGTTCAGGTACAAGCTACCTGTAATAGACGTAATTACTTAATTAAAGATCACGTCAAAGAGATTGATCGACGACGTCCCCTGGTGAACCACTAAAAACATATGTAATCGTAAAATATGTAGTATTATTTATAAATCGCGTCTACATTTAATAAATCTAGTAACTTACTTGTACAGATCTGTAAATACTGCAGGGGCTGAGGAAAATGTGCTGATAAATATTATTAAACACATGACAATAATACACTTTTGAAATAGGTTCACAACCCGGTCTGCCTGGATACCCACCTCAACCGGGACAGCCAGGATACCCAGGACAGGAAGGACAACCAGGACAACCTGGCTACCCAGGATATCCTGGTCAAGGTGGAGAGCCCGGCAAACCTGGACAACCAGGATATCCAGGTCAACCTGGTAAACCAGGTCAACCAGGATACCCAGGTCAAGGAGGACAACAAGGCGGACCAGGGCAACCCGGAAAACCTGGACAACCCGGTAAGACAACATTTTAAATGTTAGTTATGTATATGTATATGTGACAATATTTTGTATATATGACATATTTTACATGTCTTTTATTACGTCTTTACCTATCATCAACAGCCTTTTCTCGTCCACTGCTGAATATAGGCCTCTCCTTAAAAGGAGGTTTTGGCTTACTCTACTATATCTTTACCTATAAATGACTTAAACTAATGGACACACCTTTATACCACCCTAGGGTTTACTAGTATGGGTACCTTGAATCCATAATCCAACAAATAAAAAATGTACGAATATATGAAATGTAATTATGTCGATCTACCGTTATGCGCTAAACATCATATTTTAAACTTACATACATAATCTTTACCAACTACTGAAAAACAAATAAACGCAACATCAAATAAATTCAATAATGCCTGTATAAACCAATACTTAATAAGTAGGTAATAATAACTTTCATTGAATGATCGTTCTCCTCTTTTATCTTAGGTCAACCTGGACAGCCTGGATACCCAGGACAACCCGGTAAACCTGAACAGCCAGGACAACCCGGATACCCTGGACAACCGGGACAACCCGGATACCCAGGACAGCCAGGACAACCTGGTGAACCAGGACAGCCAGGCAAACCAGGACAATCAGGACAACCCGGAATTCCAGGCCAACCTGGACAACCAGGGCAACCAGGACAGCCCGGTTACCCAGGACAACCAGGGATTCCAGGTCAAATTGGACAACCAGCACAGCCCGGATACCCAGGACAGCCAGGACAACCTGGATACCCAGGACAGCCTGGACAGCCAGGCAAGCCAGGACAACCAGGTAAAATTATTTTTATCTATTAATGAACCTGTAAATAAATATTCTGTGTCATAAAAAGTAATAGTATGCATAGTATCTCTCAATTGTTGCTACTTAATATAAGGCGCATAAAAATACACATTTAGTCTGTATCTAATGGCCGTTAGGATTGAGGAGCCACTTTTCATATCTTTATGAAATTAGTATTATTATTTAGTGGTAAATTAAAAAAAAAAAAGCCGTGTGGTGTCGTGGGACACCCGATAGGAACGAAGTTGTTACGATCGAGTAAAACTGATTAGACACGATTTTAATTACAACGCCATCTATGAAAGCGGCTATTACCTACATAATTTTCAGTTGGTTTCTAATTAAAACAATTTATACATTGGTAAAATCTCCTTGAGAAATGATGTCGAATACAATATTTTTTGCTCAACCTAAGAACATAAATTTTAATTTTACTATTCGATAGATGGCGCTGAATGACTGACAAGTGACAATTCAAAATAAAAAGTGTCGTGACCAATTTTCGTAAGAATTTTTACCGTCTAGAATTTCACAACGCGCGATAAGGAACTTCGTTCCAATATCCTCGATTTCGTAGTATAATGCTTTTAAAGTTATATGAACATAAAGGTGGCTCCTCAATCTAGATGTTTGGATTGAGGAGCCACATCAGAACTAGGAACATAATGGATGCATATTTATCATAATTTAATATGATTTTGTAGTATTTGAGTAGTAGTAGTAGTAGTAGTAGTAGTAGTAGTAGTAGAGTAGTTAGTAGACAAAATCTTAAATTAAAAAAGAACATTATATTTGTGGCTTCTCAGACCAGACTATACTATAATTTTTCAAAGAAGCCGTCTTTCAATTAATAAATATATTAAAGAACAATGGCAGAAACATATTTACCTAAACCTGAAGCGTTTAAAAAATTGACTCACAGTAAAGTTAATAAATATTTTTCTATGATTTATCATTATACTGCCATGTGTTGTATGAGTCTTATAAGAGATAGAATATTTTTAAAGATTTGATTTGACCTAAGTACGTAATGTCAGAATCGCCATCACGTATAACTAACTAGGGATGCGTGATGGTATTATTATATTATGGAACTTTTTATCGATAATCGATTGTTATAACTTTGGCTTAAATATCTATCGAAGGTTCACCTACTCGTATTATGTTTATGAATTTGCTTCTGCCCACGGGTTCACTCGTACGTAACTAGTACCGTAGTGACTAAATCAACCTAATTAGAAATAATTTAGAATATTTTTTATTCTTTTTAAAAGATTTTTGCTACACCAAAATAAATAGAATATAGTTACGTTATTTTAATTTTAGAGAGTCGGCTAACACTTTCTACAGCAAATTAGGGTTGCTTATGAGTAATAATAATGATAATAATATTTTCGAATTTATGACACACAACGCCATCTAGTTTCAAACAAAGCAATGACAATATTTTAGTACTTAACCTCGTAACATTCAAAATCCAATATCTTTTTTCCTAGACTTCTTTCGCTTGTAATTTTTTTATAAGAATGTTCAAGAATAAATTCTCAAGGGTTATAGGCATTTTTGATATTTAAACGCTGTCATTTCACTTCAAATAAAATTATATATGGGACCTGCCATTGTCCTTTGTAGTGTAAACAGTCAGTAATTAAAATAAATGAATTGGGAGATATGGCTCATTTAAACTGGCTCCTCAGTTAAGATGCTTCGGCAAATAGATTTGACTCTAATATAGTTATGTTATACTTGTGACGAAATTTAGAACATAAAACAACTATGTTTTGTATAAATTTAATTCTGTCATAAAAAAGTACAATATTTACGAAGTTATTGGCTAATCTTGAATTTTCTAAAAAAAATTTGTAGGGTGTCCATGAATAATTTATATAAAACATATTTTTTGGTTCCGTTTCGTATACAAATCTATTTTATTTTATCTAATTATTTGGAGGTAACTGCAAATTAATGTGGTTACCAACCTACCCTTAATAATATTTATTTATACACCACGACACAAGAGTCAATATCTCAACACTGATAAATACTTATTGCAGACGTAAGGAGTTATTACTTTTTTATTTAATTATTATTATCGATACAAAACGCGGCAAATACAGGTGGTAGTAGATAGTATAATAAAAGGTGTTATAGAATTTATCCTTGCAATTAGCGACGCTGGCATGTGACAACTATACATGACACTATCCAACAAAGGATGAGATGTTTTGTTACGACGACTATGATTCTCACCTACTAAATATAGGGGTGAGCTTCCGTTTAAAATCTGAAGTGGGTCCTCAACCCATACGGACATTGTATGTGTATAATGTTCATAAAAATATGCACTACGGACTATTATTATTACTATTATGAATAAGCAAGAGATAGCAGATTGCGATGACATCTTTGGTCTATAATTTTTTGTGTTCTCGTCAATAGGCTACGGAAAATCCTATTAATAATAAAGAGTAAATATCTGTCTATTATCTGTACACAACTGGTTACTGTTAGGGATGGAATAAAATCACAATCATTTATTCGAAGTAATCACCCATGCAATCTACGCATCTTTGCCAACGCATTGGCAGTTTATTGATCCCCTTCTTGTAAAAATCAGCTGGACGGGAGGCAACAAACTCTTCAAAGGCATTTTGTACTGCCTCTCGGGAATTGAATTTTTTACCCACTAAAAAGTTGTCTAAATTTTGGAAAAAGTAATAGTCGGTAGGTGCAAGGTCTGGTGAGTATGGCGGATGAGGGAGAGCTTCCAACCCCAGCTCTTGCAGCTTGGAGACTGTCTGTTGCGCAGTATGGGGTCGCGCGTTGTCGTGAAGGAGCAGTGGGGACGACCGATTGACCAAAGCTGGTTGCAGATGTGCAAGCTTCTCCATTATTATCTCCAGTTCTTCACAGTACACATCTGCATTAATGCTCATGCCGTTTTGTAAAAAGCTGTAGTGAATCACACCCGCGCTAGACCACCAAACAGTGACCATCACCTTTTTAGGTGTCATTTTTGGTTTAGGGCATTGCTTTGGTGCTGAACCAGGGTCTAACCAACTTGCTGAGCGCTTTCGATTGTCGAACAGAATCCATTTTTCGTCGCACGTAACAATTCGTTTCAAAGTTCCTTCATTTCTTTACCTGTTGAGCAGCGCAAGGCAGCTCTCGACGCGTACGTTGCGCTGTCGATCGTTAAGGTCGTGGGGCACCCATCTATCAAGCTTTTTTACCTTGCCAATTTGTCGGAAATGGATCAATATTGTTTTGATGCTTACATTAAAAGCTGCTGCTAGCTCAGCTGTAGATTGAGTTTCGTCAGCTTCTACAATCGCCTTTAATTCATTAGTGTTAACCAAAGTCTCCGGACGACCACGAGTTTCATTTTTCAAGTCAACATTTCCAGAACGGAACCGGGAAAACCAATAACGGGTTGTGCGTTCGTTTGTACAGTTCTCTCTGTAAACGTTTTTGATGTTACGTGCCGTTTGTGTCGCGTTGGTGCCACGACGGAACTCATATTCCATAATTACACGAAAAGTATCCATTATGACGAAAAATGTTCAAATGTAATGAAAATGCAACGCTAATAAAAAACAAAAGGCTGAGTTTGTAAATAGAATGTCATGGTTTTAAAACAAAATTAATTTGAATTTAGAATACAGAGCCATTACAAACTTCTTTTTTAATTGAAATGACCAGTACTGAAGAAAGGCAATTTCATAGGTAAAGACCTAATATATCTTAAAAATACCCACAAAAAAGTCCTCGATGGTGTATGTCTACCTCCTAAGGATAAGCCACAGTAACCTACGTAATTTACGAAGCTGAACAAAACAGTACTTTTCCTTATCTTAATTAACAGTTAGGTAAGTTGTGTAATGTACATCAAAATTGCCTTTCACAGCATAACATTAAAATGAATGCATAACATTATAACATTAAAATGAAATTTAAAGGTAGCAGCGGCCGGCAGGATCGGAACGGGCGTATAAATCTTGCGTATAACACTAGACTCTAATTTGCATTGCAGTGGGCCCACACATTGACGGATTGTCGAATAGACTCAGCTCTGCAGCCGACGCGGTTTATAAAATTCGTCAATTAACCGATGTAGAAACAGCCAGACTGGTGTATTTTAGCTATTTTCTTAGTGTAATTTCATACGGTATTTTGTAGTGGGGAAATGCTGCTGACATTCAAAGTATTTTGTGTTGCAAAAGAGAGCTATTCGTGCAATTTATAATCTCAGTTTTAGGCAGTCACTGAGGGATAAGTTTAAAGAAATTGGTATCATGACAGTCGCATCTCAATACATATTCAATTTAGTGTATGTAAAGAAAAATCATAATAATGCATAATAATCATTTATTCACAAAATTTAGCGATATTCGTAAAATAAACACTAGAAATAAAAGATAAACTCGTGTTACCAACCACTAGACTACAAAAAGTAAGCAAGTCTTTTCGTTGTCAGGGTGTGCGATTTTACAATTAATTGCCAAGCAAATTCCATGAATTAAGTATTAATAAATTTAAGTCTTTCTTAAAGCTAAAACTGTGTGAAAAGGCTTACTACACCATTACAAATTATTTAGATGACAAATTTGCTTGGGATTAATGCTGCTCACTACCACATTTACGTTCCCATCTTTGTTGTTAAGTTTGAAAGTGATGGATATTCAATTATTATT